CTTCGAGATACCACTCTATTCGAGGAGTCCTTCTCTATGGATGTGTTCGGCGAATACGTGTTTTGGTCTAATTATGAGAAGAATACGGTGTTTAAGACTCATAGATCCGGCGCTAACGGCACCGAGAAGTTGGCATTGGTTACGGCGAGCACTGACATAGAGGGTATACGGGTGTTGGACCGGTCCAGACAACCTGCCGGTGCCAACCGGTGCGAGAATAGCAACTGTTTCCAACTCTGTTTGCCCGCCGGCCGAGACTACCGGTGCGTTTGTTCAAAGGATTCTGTCGGCGATTGTATAGAAAATGTATGTTTTATTTGTAAAGTTTTTGGATATTTTTTAATTTAATTTTGTTTTTTGTTAGACACCAATCCATTTGATAAATCCGAGCGCATATCACAGCCCAGTCATCGATACTGACAACCATTTTATGCAGAATTTGTCACTAAAATTGGATTCATTGCTGAAGAGTACGGATCAGTTGACCGGTGGTGGTAGTGGTGGCGGTTCGCCCACCCATTGGGTGATCATTACGTTGATATCCATAACGTTTAATCTGATATTCATATTGTTTTTCATTGTTGTTATTTATAATAAGAAAAAGCCGTGAGTATATGTGTTAATACCATGTTGGTTATTATTTTAATTATTTGTGTTATAATTAAATTACATTATTATTATAATTGCAGTATTTTTGGAGGCATAATATCGTTCAGGAATAATGGGGAGAGAATTATGCTTGATGAAAGTTCCCTGAATGGTGATTTATGAATAACCTGGGTTGTTGTTCAATATATTTTATCTCAATATAAAATACACTAATTAATTATACGATTATTTAATCACATTTGTTATTTACATATTTAAATATTAATTGATATAACAAATATTGTATATTATATAAATCATTATGTTTAAACTTAATTATATTTATAAAAAACAATAATAATATAGTTTTTAAATATTTCTCATTACTCAAATAAGTTATAAATAATTCTTAAAAAATAAATATTTTATAAATACTTTAAATGTTTTTGAATAACTTTTAATCTATACAATTTACAATAAATAATGAGATTTACATAAAGCTCTCTCTCTCTCTCTCTCTCTCTCTCTCT